CTGAGAGGTCCCTATTCTCAAAATTGTCTATTCCCTCAGCCCCAACCATGGTGGGGGCAGTGAGGCGGACCCTCACGCACCCCCTACCGCCAAATCCTTCAACCGCCCCAGGGGTGTCTAAGAGAGGAGGAGCATACGAGGGAGCATAACTGCGTCGGGAGGAAGTCAATAATTTTGTAGAGAAACACTGCTTTGAAAAAGCATTTTTACCGTCCGAGAGTGCCATTTCCGAGCGTCTAGAGGGGCCTATTCTTAAAATTTGCTCCAAGGGCCACTAAATTTTATATAAATCATCAAAGAAAGGTAAATACTGTGTTCGAATAAAGGATATAATAATACATCGGGTTCGAGTCCCGCCAGAAGCATTTTATTACACAATTTCTTTATTCATTTATTTACAGGACTATATTCGTTGAGAGCTATGCTACACGATGTATTATTATGTCCTTTAATCGAACACTGTATTTACCTTTCTTTGATGATTTATATATAATTTAACAGTGTTAACGGCTACCTTGATTTATATTTATATATACATATATATATTTATATATATACATATATATACATATACATATATACATATATATCTATATATATGTATATGTATATTATATATATATATATGTATATTATATATATTTTTATTATGCAACCAATGAACCACGTATTAAATATCTGTAGATCAACCATTATATGTCTAGCAATTAAATGCAGTGATAATCTATTAGAGCATAACCTATTAGCGCATGATCAACTATAGACAATAGGCCATCCAATGTGATAAGCAATACCTCTCTTTTAATCTCTTTTTATATCAGTTGCACATAGGATACCACCTGATGAGTGTGGTCAGCTTTGCTGATCATACGAAACAGATTTGTAGTGGGAAATAAAATGATGAAGTAAAAAAAGTTCGCCTCTGTTCTTTATTATATATATATATATATATATCTAAAGAGAACAAAATTGTAACAGCAATGGTGCAGTGTTCTCCCCTGGAAGCATCATGGTACCATGATGCCTGGGACTTTACCCATGATGCTTGACAGTTGGCCATGATGCTTGGAACATCTTCCATGATGCTTTTATCAGGGAACAGTTAAATTATAACTGTTCCCTGCTTTTATATAGTCTTAAAGTGCAATTTAGGACATTTCAATGCCTCCCAATTATTAAAAATACCTTGTGTCAATCCCAACAATGGTGGAATTAAATCCATTAATTTACTGTTAGATTGTTCACATTTAAGAGAGAGGGGGTTGATGCTCAGGCACCATGAAAACCCCTTGGTTACGGTGCTGAACAGGCCACATGAATTAGCCCTCTTTCTCAATCAAAACATTACACTTTTCCCATTTCTCCCTTTTCTGTATATGATTAAGTTTTCTCTAAATTATTTCTCTTTTTCTTAGCAACAATATTATTTATAATCATCATAGCACCACGCCTGTAATCTGCATGATTTAACCTTTTTTACTTTCTTGATTCATTATTTCTTCTTTTTTCTTTGCATATAAATCATGATCAATCTTCTCTGGGCTGATTCTTTTCTTCTCCATTTCTTTCCAGACTTTTTCAAGTTGACAGAAATCTGAAGCCCTTTGGAGCTTCTTACGTATAACAAACTTTTGCAAATCTTTAGCAGACATTAATTTGCACGTATCAATACTACATAAGTTTTCTGTCTGGCTCAAATCTAATGTTGGTAGGAATGTGAATCCAGTTTTTTTTTCTAGATCTTCAAGTGGAACTTGATATTCAGTGAGATTTGCATGATCACTGGAGATTGGTTGATTGGGAACAATGAAAGCACCAACACCTACAAGTTTGCTTGACGTATTTTCAACAGTAACAATCTTGTACAAATGAGTTGGAACAGCGACCTGGTGAGCACCAACCACCTTTAATGTGATACATAAAAATATAATTTAATAAAAAGAAACTAATTATTATTAAATTATATTTTTATGTATCACATTAAAAATATAATTTAATAAAAAGAAACTAATTAAATAATTAGCAAATATAGCAATTAGATCTACGAATTCAAAATACATATTTTTATTAATTTAATTAATTTATTTAATAATAATATTGTAAAGAACCTGATGATGACAATTAATGTCGAAATATTGAATCCCTACACGATAGCGTGCATTTCAATACTTGGAGTATGTTTTATACTTTCTTATCTGAGATTAATCAGTTGACCTTTCGGTAAAGAACCTCTGAAACAGAAACTAAAAATTATGATTTAGGTTTTGCTTTTGATATACTACACACTAATTTACTTTCTATCTGTGTTATTGTTCTTATTTGTTTTTCTATGACCAGTTTCCATATAGGTTTATGCAATGTTGACACTTCTTGTTTCTTTGTTTAAAACAATCGAAAAGAATATTCTGTATCACTTCTGTATTTATGAAAATCAATCTACTTAACATAAATTCAAGAGTTGTACTTCACCAAAAGTCGTGGCCTACAAATTGATTTTTTTCACTTATATTTTAAAATTATAAAACATAAATAATTAATTATTAACTAATGAATCTTATATACTAATTAAATCTTAATATTTAATTACATTGAAGAACAAAATCATTAACCTATCCCATGGTAACACATCGAAAAAATTAAGACATTAAAATTTAAATTAAAAGAACAAACCTCATATTTCATGAATAATTTTCCATCTTCCTTAAGGCTGGGAACAAACAATGGTCCAGTAATGATTCGAACATCATCAAAGCGTTGGGTAAGATCTCTACAGTAGCTTTCAAAAGGACCCCAGAAATCATCATTATTATCAATGTCTTGGGGAACAATATTGGAGAACAAGAATGTCTCATCCATTGCAGCCTGGGAAGGGAAAAATACAATAATTACAAATATCAAAAATGAGTTTATTACAATTGTGGTGAAATTTAATATTAAGAAAATGAAAAGAAGTGGCAAAACTGGCTAAAAATAACACAATTGAAAAATTGGTATAATAAAAATTGTAACACACATTACATACAAGAGTGTCAGAGAAAGTAATTACTAGTAATCATCAGAAAAACAACTTTAATTGAAAATTATTGACTTTAAATTGATCTAAAAATGGCAAGCCATTTATTGTACAGGGCAGGAACAAATTTTTAAGGTGGCTTTTAAAGACAAAATTTTGCTTAGGGTGCCACTAACAATCACCAAATTTGTGTTTATGGTAACACTTCTAATGTTAAAATGAATAGTAGGAACCTACTTATATATCATACCTGACTATATTTGCTATCAGAAGCAGGTGCCATGTGACCCCTTGACCAGCCACTGTTTTCGTAGTCACTGTTTGATGATCTAAATAACTCAGGGATATTTGTATCCTCTTTGAAATGTGAATGTTTACGTACAGCAGAGCCTGAGCAAAAGGAGACAAGATATTTATTAATGCATTGTAAATGCAAGGATGTGGTAAGGAATGCTAAAATTGCTCAATTGGCTTCAAAATAGATGTTATATCTATTCTAAACAACTTTAGTATTTCATATAAATAATAATTGAAAGTTCAGTATACATAAATATTATTTTAAACAATGTAATAAATATTTTCTTTTATAAAAGCAAATGGCACCAACCAAAGAATGTTGGTAGTTACTATATCCATTTAAAAAATGTAGATATACAATCTCCCTGGGATGGTATCGTTTGATATCAATAGTATGTCAAGGCTCTGTACATTTCTATTGTAATTTGTGATTATTGTTTTGAAATTTTTTGTATATATTGCATATTTAAAATATATTTTTATGTTTGAAAACAAGTATTTAAATAATATAAAAACCTAATGATTCAATTAAATTAATTAGAATGAAATTCTGATAAATAATTGAACTGTATGCTAAATTGTTCTTATTGATAATTGAATGGAATGTAACTTTTTTTCTAGACACCTATTGATGAATTGCTATTAAATTATATTTTTGTAGTTAGGTAGAATAAAAGGCTCAGTTCATATGGTTTCACCATTCAGATGGTCAACTGTTATGTGCTCAGCCACCCAGTTAGGAATTCTCTTCTCTTGATCATATCCTATCACATGATTTATATAAAAGCGCACATCTTGTCCTCTGTCTGGTGCCCCATATTTAAGAATTGATGCTCCTCGTAACTCTTTCTGTTTATCAACTAGCAAAAAATAAAAATAATAATAATGGTTAAAGACAAATAAGAAGATGGAGCTATTATAAGATGGTTCTAGATTACCCTAATGTATGCCTCCTTTTATTATTTCTATTATTCAATCATACACTACAAAGATGTGGATCCCCACCCTTGCCATGTAATTTCTTCCCCAGGAAGATTCCCTACATCCCTCTGTCTTGAGGATCATATTTCATACTCCTGTATGTGTAATTTCGAACCATCATGTTGAATCCCTGTTAATTAGAATTCTTAAATTGTGATCACTTTATAGTAAAGTGATGCTATCTTAAGTGAACTTAAGTGTATGTGAAATTCCCACAATGACTCACAGGAAATTACTCACGTCCTTTCTTGGTTGCCTAATTTGTGTATTTTCTTGTAGGAAATTATTATTTAATACTAGTACTACTCTAGGCCCTAGCCCTAGTAATTTTAAAGATAAGCCTAGGCCAGTGAGCGCCTATTTACCTATGATGAGTACTAGTAGGCCTAGACCAGGCCCTTTTTATAGTAGTAGGCTAGAGAAAGAGTCGTGCCTTGGCTTGGTCATAATATAGGCTTGAGCGCTTAGGGGCTAGGAGAATAATGCGACATGATGATGACGGAAGCCTAAACTAGCAGCAACATAACACTATGCATGGAGTTATAATTATTTTGAAACTCCGAGCACTATCTATGGGGTGGGGGGAGGGCTAGCCCTACCTTCGGTTTTCGTATCACATCTTTTGATTTGTGTCGGTATATGAATCATCTTTGCTTTTTTGCTGAACCAAACCCACAAATCCAATTAAAATAAAAGATGACGTTGCACCAAAAACTAAGTTCTTCCGAGTAAAACAACCCCGAAACATGCTGTGCTGTGTCCACTGATCTCTACTAACTATAATATAGTTATGTAGAGATCAGTGGTTGGTTCAGGTATATAAAGTATACAGTTGGTTGTGTCTCGAGAATCTGCTGAACTTCCTGCTTCCTTCCCTCAAACTGCAATGTATCCGCTCAAACACCTCTATCATCAAATCACATTAAAGCACGTCAACTCGCGTCTGCAAAAAGAAATAATGAGGTTTGAAATATCACGATTTCTAGAAGAAATAATATAATAGCAATTTGGTTAATTTATTATAAAAATCATTAGTCGAGATGAAGTTTGAGAAACAAAACAATATTAATAGTGAATTTTAATTCATTAGTTTTTTTGCCGCTTGATCAGGGAACATGGTATGGTCGGATGTGGGTCCAGGGGAATATCAACAGAGATTATGGTTCCCGGGATGTAAACATAATGCTTTTGAGACAACAGTTTTAGGGATTGCAATGATCACAAAACGGATCGACAAATTGTTTACAGTATTCCAACAAAACCTGCCTCTGGCTACGCGAACGGGCTCTGACTCAGAGTGTGAGTTATGCAAGGGGCACTGGTATAGACGAATCAAAGGAATCATCATGGTCACCTCAGAGACAAACATAGAGAAATATTTTATAATATTTTGTTCTTTAGGTCTATGCCAATTTCTCCTATTTCTCATAATAATTATAAAGGAATAATTTGACAAGTGTACATATGAATGAAATTCTTTATGTAAAAGAAATTTAAAAGTATCAATATTTATTGATTGAATGCTATGTTTATACCAATGAGGTTGTATACAGAAATATTTATTTAAATAATATTTGATTTAAATAATTTGTCACTTTTTATATTTAAACAACTTGCAAGATCAAGGAACCTTATATATATAATTCATAGGCATATTTTGATTTCAATGATTCATAAATATGGGCATATCACATCCGGCATATTTGTCACAGGCCCTACTGTAGACAGAGCTTAAAGACAGGCTCCGGAGGAAACCAAGATTTTGATAGGCCTAAAAAAATAACTCATTTTTTCTAAGACACAAAAAGAGTGTGTAGAAAACTTGGGAACGTTAAATGAGATCCAGATTTTTGAATACTTAAAACTGGGGAAAGAAACCAATCTTTTTTTCAACCTTTTTCCCCAGTTTTTAAATATTCAAAAATATGTATCTCATATTGACCATTTCCGAGTTTTTCGTCAAACACCATTTTTGTGTCTTCGAGAAATCAGTTATTCTATATAACCATCCTCCATGATATAACATATAAAATGTTTCCCCCTCCGGTAGCCTGGCTTTAAGAAAATCAAGGCCTTCCTCCGAAGTAAGGGGAACGCGAGCTAACGTGTGTTGACGTTTGTTGAAGTGTGTTGACGCGAGTGACGGTAGTACTGTACAATAATAACATTATCATCGCATCCAGTGCAGGATCAGAAGGCCGATTGGCCTTTTTGACAGATTCCACAAACTTACAGTCGTATTTGCACTAAACACTTAATGTATTATGGTGTTCCCCCCCCCCCCCCTCTTTGGCCGAGTTAACTTAAGAGAGTTTATTTAAAAGATTAGCAGTTACATTTAATAATTTAAATTGTTCGGATAAATATTTTCTTATGAAGTTTATCCTCGTTTAACTTTATGAAGACAGATTTGCGAGTTTGTACCATAGGCCTATATTGTGTTTCTTTGTATGTTCCATCCAGTGGGAGGTTTCTATCTCTTTTGGTTGAGAATTGAAGAAAATAAAATAAATTGTATAGGCCTAGGCGCTGCAGTGTTCATTATGTGAAGTACCATATAGGCCGTAAATGCTGATCATTCTGGTCCAATGGCACATCCAATTTCAAGCAGGGACATAGCCACGATTTTGAAAAGGGGGGGGGGAGCCGTTATGCGAATTACGTAGGACCCCGGTGGGGTCAAGGGGTCGAATCCCCCTGTGAAGTACTAGCGCACTCCGAACGTTCTTAGGACTGTTTGAGAGGATAAAGTGAAAATTGCAATAGACGCATTATAAATAAGCGCAAAATAATTATATAATAAATCAACAGTGGCAGATCCAGGAATTCGAAAGAGAGGTATTTAAACCAGATAGGAGGGACATTCACAGACCGAGGAACCACTCTCCTCAGCCCCACTATGGTTGGGGCTGAGGTAAGAAAATTTATGATTAGGGCATCTCTAGACGGCCGGAAATTACACTCTCGCACTTCAATTTGAATATATTTTTCTTTTTTTCCC